TTTATATTTTACTAAATTATATCTTTCATGAGGCGACAGTTTCAAAATGATCAGTACACTGAAAAACTAAATAACTATTTGCAAATAGAACAATTATTTTTATTAGATTTTTTGTTATCGCTATTACTAGTAACAAATGTTTGAGTTACTGACTTCTGTTTAAGACTACTACTGCTTTTGTTCATAGATTTAGAGAAATTCATATACCTATTTTTTTCCACACTGTTTAGAGCTTTTCTTTGGATTTTGAGAAAATTTATTATTTTATTATAGACCAGAATATCTGATTTACTATTTCACATTTCGAATAACTTGCGAGTTTGACTGTCTAACTTTGAAAGTGGTATAGATTTATAGATATTATGACAAAATCAGCTAAGTGTGTTATACCTACCTAATTGCTAAATTGTCTTAACAGATGTACAAAATTTTTCCAAAAAATATTTAGAAATACGGAAAACTTGTATTGTGCTGGTCCATCATATGAATAAATACGTTTTTCTTCATACTTTTTTATTAAAGTATCACATAATATAATTCACAAACCTCTAATGCTTTATCTTTGAAGGCTCCTAATAAATAATGAGTTTTGCTAATGTCGTGCAAATTAGAATTATGAGCATAGCTTTTAAAGGATTCGAAAAAAATTTGCTATATTTTAGGATCTCCAGAGATTTCTGGTATATTTAATTTTTCTAATGAAAAAATGGTAATGAAATGAGTAAATGAAAGAAGCGAGTAGTAAGGAAAAAATAATGGCAGCTATAATTCGATTTGAAGGACCATATGGTTGGGTCCAAATAGGCTTCTCAAGTGCTATAAAAAATGTCCTCAGTATCTAAGCTTAGATACTGAGCAGCAAATTTAATTTCGTATACAAATGTTTTTGCTGTAAGTCGTCTTTCATGAGAAAAATGCAAAAATAAAATAAAAATTATTTAGCAGTGAAACTGTTCATGTCGCATAGATCCTACTATGGGCACTTTCCAAGAACATAGATTCTCCTATAATAATTATTGCCTATGGACAATAACATAACATGAAATGCAGCTGAGATATAGATAATTTAAAAGAAAAACCTTAGGTTTACATTTTAAATGAGTGGAGAAATTTTGAAATCAAAAAGTGAGTACTTAAAATTAAAATTAAGAGCTGAAATTTGATGAGATTTTTTTCCAAATTTTAGAACAATATTTCATCAACGGAGCGAAAAAAAAATTATCAAATAATTTTGGAGATATTAATATTTAATTATTAATTAATATTAGTCAACTGTGTGATAATTTCATTATTAATAAAAAAAAAAACAAAATTGGAGACATTTTCTTTGACTTAGAATTATGAATCAAATACCACTAATAAAGACACTCTACATGTCATTTTCTTACACATTTTAGTAATTACTCTCAAATGACCAAAGATGCATACCAGGTAAGAAGCTTCTATTTCAAACCTTTTTAAAATTATATGAGAAAATATTGATTCGTGGTACCATATTGGCAGGGCTAATGTCTCAGCAGACGTTCACTTTTGTATCCATACAGGGTGCCTCTTCTTCCATCATAACCTTACACTATCAGAAAAAGAATCTTGGAATGTTAATGAAAAGGTATATTTTAAAATTAGTGGTATGTTGCAAAAAGTGTGGTACACAGATGTACACATATTGTTCTTAAATGGAACATCATCACTTTTCTTATTCCAAGAATATCCACAAGTATGGAAAGAGTCGCGAATATGCCCCTTTTATAAAAAAGGTACTAAAAACGACATAACTAATTATCGGCCCATGGCTATTATAAGTAACTTCTCAAAAATCCTGGAAATAACTTTACACAATCGACTTTATTTTGTGCTTTATTTGTGCAGTATCGATGCTTTCAATAATGTAAATTCCATCAATTTTCAGGAGTTCCACGAGGGTCAATCCTGGGACCACTGTTATTTATTATTTTTATTAATGACAACTGAATGCCTCGATGTCAACTATTTACTCTATGCGGACGACCTGAAGTTATTCTTGCAAGTTAAATCCTCTACTGACTGTACTACATTACAAGATAATCTTGACAGATTACACAATTGGTGTTCATGTAATAATCTACCTCTGAATGAAAGTAAATGTAAATTTATGACACAGTCGACGTAAAACTAATCTAGATTTTGATTATAAAATTGGTGAATCATTTTTAAATAGAGAAGCAATTTACTGACCTTGGTGTTACTTTCGATACCAGATTATCGTTTGACGACCCCATTAGTTTAGTAACCAAATCTGCTTATAAGAATTTAGGCTTTATTTTGCGTAATTCTTAGGACTTTCAAAACGTAAAGGTTCTAAATATATTGTATGCAGCATTTGTGCGTTGCCAACTTGAATATGCATCGGTTGTTCAGAGTCCCATTTATAATATTCAGTTAGAGAAAGTACAACGGAGATTTTTAAAGACTATTCATTTTATTAGTTATGAATTTTATCCTCCTCATGGTACACCTCAAGATTTATTGCTTTCTTGTTCTAATTTTTATAGTCTGTCGTAGGCAGTGGCGGTTTTACCATAAGAACTGCGGAGCTGCAGAACACATAAAATTTTATGTATTTAATCATATTAAATATCAACAAAATAGTTAAAGAATCCAAATGTACTCGCGCTAAAAGAAATCTAGGAGCTTATAATTATTATTTATTACGACGCGAGCTACACTCCTTAATATATGCAACCTCATATACAAAATGTGTGCACAGCGAACAGTTAGATGCGTCCTTTGTTTCTATCAGGCACATAACCCAGTACACTTTTATATGGGCTTTTGTGGCTGCAACAACGACAGCCACTGCTGCAGTAAATGCAGTAATATTTCGTACGTGGTACCTATGCGGTATTGCGGTGGTTTATTTCTACGAGCGGCACGTGTGAATATGTTCGTATAGGCGTCTACGGATATTATAGTTATTAAAATGAATAGCGTTTCGTTTTTATAAAAAACTTTATTTGGTTCTCTGCCTTATGAGGATAAACAAAAAATAAAAGAATTACATGGGCCAACACCACAATTAAATATTGAAGTTAGTGAAACAAGCCGAAATAAAAGTTATAAAAGACAATTTAACAATAATGTATACACAAAAGCAGAGTGGCTGTGCGGGTGTAAAAAATACACTGTTTTGTTTTCCGTGCTTACTTTTCGGTGGGAATAAAGCATAGACAATATACAGTGTGAAAGATTTAAGCAATTTAAGTCATTAGGTAAAATAAACATAAGAAGTCAGTTAGATTCTGCATATTGGGATAATATACGGAAACACGATGAACAGGTAACGAAAAATCGTCATGTATTATCTAAAATCATAGATTGCATAGAATTTTGCGGAGCTTTCGAATTAGCACTTCGCGGTCACGACGAGAGAGAAAATTCGGACAACCCTGATGTGTTTTGTGGACTCATACATTTTAGTGTAGATCTTGACGACATATTAAAAGAACATCTAGCGACATGGGTATGACCGGGATTTTCTGTGATTGTACCGGGAATTAGCTGTATGGTCTCAGATTTCGGATTTGCGCGTATCCTCCTGGTCTCGGAATATAACATGTACATATATATATATATAAAAAAAGATAAAGAAAAAGCCATAACACGGCAAGGAAAATTAAAATTTGTTGAATCGTTAGTAAACTTCACAAACAATTTTTTTGTTTATAAACAATATTCAATAATTTAATAAAATATATTTAGTTTATTCCAATTTATTTATACCGTCAGTAGGTAATTCGTGAATAGATGTTTCAAAAAGGTATCAATTTCAAAATTCGTTCTTGTGAAAATCTGTATTTTTATATAAATGGATTGTTCCTTGAAATTCAGAAGTGCAAGGAAAATGCGTGACCTTGAAAATTTTTAAATTTTTCGCCTGCGGCGCCATTTACAGACTCTCCGGGCACTTAATATTCTGGAATTCAATTCAACAAATGTAACAACCTTAAGTAGAACACATTCAATCAATGTTCACGCGTCGCCACTGGTCGTAGACGAATTATGTTTTCAATTCCTTTTTAAAATCATAAATAACATGTTAAATGCAGACTCATTAGTCTCAAGGATTTTATATCATGTTCTTAGCCTTAATTCTAGATTTCACTCCGTTTTACAATTACCCACACCTCATATCAATTTACTAATAGCATCTCCCCTATATCAAATGATTTCCAATTACCAGAAGTATGAAGATCGACTTGATATATTTTTTCATTGTATGAATGACATAAAAAAATTGTTTGTCTAGTAAATGTAATCCTTAGCTTGTATATGTTAGTTAGCTTATTTGTTTTATTTGTCTGTTATTGTTTATCCTTAAGTTCTCTGTCTGGATTTTATATTTTGATTGCTCTATGTTATGTAGTATTTATATTTTTATATTTAATGTTAGTTTGTCTTTTTCTTTTAGAATTTAGTTAAGGTTTTCTGTTTTACCTTATCCTGTAATTGGGACTTTGTTCCGTTGGATATTGTAACTTCTAAATAAATAAATATATAAATGGAGGCTGCACGAAATTTATTATACAACCTTAATTAATCACAAATTTATGGCTGTGACGTGTGATGCACAACTGATAATATACTTACATGCTAAAAAAAAAATTCCATCTTGCCGACAATTGTTATTCAATTTTCTTTCAAGTTTACCATTACACTAACAACACACTACAAGGGGGAACATTTGTAAAGTCAACATAAATAATCAAACACATATATCGACGCATGACAATAATTCTATTTCTCGAAACTAGTCTATGACAATAGGTATTAACCAAAGTATTTTTGCATGCTGCAAACATTGCTCAAATAAAGGTGATCTTAAATGTTCTACACCAATGTATTAGATTTTAAATATTATACATATTTTTATGCATAATTATTATTGTAATAATAATGTTATATAAAACTGTAATTTTAAAATAAAACATAATGGATTTATTGTTATTGATATTTTTTTCCAGGATGTTGGGAGCAGTCCGGAAACCCCAACGAATGTGATAGATCAGAGTGTTTGGCAGATAAAAAACCCCCAAAAGCCATGAACAATACCAAATTTTGTTGCTGTTCCAAAAATAAGTGCAATGAGAATTTCACTGATGCCTACATACCTATGGATGATCTGTCGTCTCCTGAAGCTGATCCACCTTCCACTGAAAGTCCCAATCTTATTATCTATATAGCAATTGCAGCGATATTTGGTATACTCGTCATTGGAATGGCCTCTGTGACCTACTGGTGTTGGAGATTGAAGCCTAAGAAAAGTGATGTCGAGACAGGGCAACATCCAATACCGTCCCCTGCAGAGTACAGCCTGGAGAAACTTAAACTTCTTAATGTTATAGGTAAATTGAATTAAATCCTTAGCATTTATTATTGATAGCGATTCACTATGAGGATCTTATTATTGTAAAAGATGCGGTGTATAACAAATTAACACAAAATCACAAAATTTAACGTTAAGTATTTTACAGAAGAGTAATTTGACCTATCTCTTTTTGTTTTAAAGTTATCAAAGAAGATTGTTACTGTTTTTTAATCGAAAAGCCAAAGTGGACTAGTTAAAATTAATTTTTAATATAAATAACCGATTATTAAATAATCTGTTCAATCAAACATCCGAATAATCGAATTCTTTCTTGACATTGGCCACATAGTACATATATAGTAGATACCTACTACAAAAATTAGATTGAACTATTAAGGCAAATACAATTTATTTTTATATTTTATCCAGGGACACAGACACAGATTGATAAAAAAGACCAATCACCCACACCCATATTCACCAAACGATCAAACCCATTTATATAAATAATAAATTGAAGAACCACAGTTTATTAAGTGTAACTGTTTTAACAGTTTTAACATTTTATCGTTTAACATTAATTAGATTTAACTTTAAAATTTAAAATATGTAAATATGTGATTAACATTTTGCTACGCTTGGTTATACTTTTTTTGTTTAAAAAACTATTTGTACAAAATATATACACATAAGAAAAAAAAACAAGAGAAAAGAAGTAAAAAAAAGAATAAATAAAAAAAAACGTAGAGGTAGTTTGGAAGCGTAAGTGCGTAACAAAGGTGCCGACAAATCACTTAGCCTGAAGGGTGTAGGTTCAGTAAAATATTTCAATACAGATATCAAAATCTAGGGCGCCACTAGCAATAAAACGCAACCCTGCTAGGAGGTTCCCAGATTGACCGGTTTTCCAAACTACGACTATTTAGCAATTAAAGTAAAGTGTAAAGTAAAATGATGGTAAACACAACAAAAAAAATAAACAAATACCACATCTTCAAACAAATACTATATCTTCCGATATAGAAGAATTTTTTATTAAAAGAAAGAAATAGGTAATTTAAATAAATATGTATGTGGACAGATATTGTTATATTTACGGCTACTTTAAAGATAGTTAAATTTAAGTACTATCTTTAGCATTTCAGGCGTGCCAATCGTGATCACGTAAGGCTTACAATCAAATATTTTAATTACATAAATACATATCACTTAATTCAAGAAATGGCATAAAAAAATATATAAATATAAATGCACATAAATATCGCCAAACTTATTTGAAATATAGACCAACAATCTTATTACTATGACATAAAAATAAGGAAATGTATATTTAAACACATTAAAAAAACTATTATAATATATGTTGTACTAGGTAGCATAGATGTTAAAAAAAAACTTAGCAATTGAATTTTCGAATTTGCACCAATAGACTTTCCGTAGCAAATTTGATAATCAGTCACAATAAAAAAAAAGAATAATAATAACGGAAAAATCTGACCTTTTTGCAATGGCAATAACAAATTGCTGATCTTACAATATTCCTGGAGAGGCGAATGCTTCTTTCCTAGTTGGATCCACTTGTCCTTATATAAGCGATGTCAACCAAGTCGGACGATAACAATCCGACAATAACAAGCCCCAAATGCGAGACAGCCAGTATAAAGGTGGAAGAATAGGTACGAACGAACGAATAGGTAAATTCACGAAGCCCTAAAATAGCACGAATAATAAATATCTTTTCTTTTTTTTTGAGATTGTCACACCTAAGGCTCACACAAAAGGTTTAAATTGTTGAAAGTAGGGTAAAAAACTTACTCAAGGATATAGGGCGGCTTCAATTGTAGTCCAATCTGGTATCTGGGATAAATATCTAAATGTACATAGATATATATTTCAGTGGTTCGTTAGAACTATCCTATTGGCTATAATATGACCATCCTGTAGATTAAGGAAATAATAGTTAGAATAAGAACCACGTGGGCCAGAAAAGATTACTTACAGATCAATTGCTTCAGAATCCGACATAAGTCGTGAATTGTGATTATAGTCACACCAATACATAAATCACATTCAAAAGTGAATTTCGATAAAACTCCCAACTATATTGGAATGCACAAATCGGCACAGAACAACGAAATTCGCTTAACAACAACTGCCTGAATACTCGACAGGAAAAATCCTCGAACCTCGACCAGCAACATTTTTGTGTGTCCAAAGAAATGTAGATAGCTAACGCGGGGACATCGTATGCGGAAGCAGAAGCATTCACGCTACATTTTTAATAAAATTTTCTTTTTATTAAACGCTCTGAGCTAATGAACTGAATTAATTAACTAGAATTGTAATTATTTATATTTACTTTAAAATGCGATTAGAAAAGGAAAAAAAATGAGTAAAATAAAAGTGCAACGTAACAATTTTTTGTTCCGTCAGGTTTTCAAAACACCGATTTTCAGATATATAGTTTTGACCATTATTCGAATAACCGGTTTTAGAATATCCAGTTTTAACCTCCATTCGATTAACCAGTTTTATCTGAAATCGGTTTTTACGGAACCCGTTTAGCCAATTTCACTGTTTTCCAGTTTTTGCCAGCCAGCAGTTGCAAATACCCTTTTAAAATATGGCAAACTTTAATAATTAATAACAACCTCATTCATTGGCAGTCTCACCTTTGGCATACTGACGAGAACTAATAAGTTTGAAATGTAGTTATTTTCTACATGTCATTAGTTAAAAAATTTTTTCCTCCCAGTGCAGTATAGATTAGTAGGTCACTTTGTGGTAGTAGGTACACTTGTCAGTGCACAATTCAGTGGCGGCTCGTGACATTGAGAATAGGTGAAAAAGAAAAAAAAAACACCGCAGGCGAAAATTTTTAAGGTCAAATGGCTTTAAATGAATGGAAATTTTTAGTTGCATTTGCATATTTCCGAAAAACTGATGTTAGTGAGGATTTTCATTTAAATTTTATAAAAAATAGAAATATTAGTTCGGCTTGTGGACTTCTGCGAACAGTAACGCACACCATACATGTATGTTTCAAACAAGCTTTCTGGTTACGACAGCCTGGCGTGCCTTTCCCAAAATTTTTAAGTCCCCCCTTATTCCACACGTCCGACTTTACACCCACAATTAATCACGGCATTCAGAAAAGTTTTTTTTTAATTAAACACATCCACACAACCACTTATACTCCGAATACCATTCATTCCAAAACTTTCGAACATACACATTATCATTTGACTTCCCCTTTTTTCCATATCGAGACAGGCACAGGTCTCTCGCAATTTAAAAAACCTTTTTTGTCCTAAATTTTCCATCTGGAAAATGGCGTTTTCTAATAAAATACATACTCTGGATCATACAATTTCAATATAGAATTATACCTAAATTATAAAATTTATATAACCACTGGTGCACATAAATTAACTATGACATTAACACGTTGACTGCGAGATAATCTCAATGTACTTTGTCCGTGACTGCGATACATATCTTCGGGGATATATAACAAAACTTCTTCTGTGTGCGGTACATATCCCCGGGGATATGTAATTTTTTTTACATTTGACCCTATAAAATTGAAAATGACACAATTATTGCTATAAACTTGCATGTATCTATAACTATATATCCTAGGATACTAACGTTTTCATTCGCAAAGAGTTTTGAAAAGAAAATAATAGAAAAATCATTATTTCTAAAAAGTACAAATTCTGCAACTTCCACAAGATACAGTAAAAATGTGATTATTGAGATTCGCATATTTTTTATAATGAGTACATACCCCCCGAGGTATGTACCGCAGTCAACGTGTTAAGAGATGAAATATCCTTTGTAGGTTATATGTCATCACTATTCAACCTCTAGCAGATGTCTAATATTTTCCCTAAATGATTATATAACATCGATTATTTCTAGACATTCTTAAAAATATACAGGGTGGTCCGAATTTTATGCAAGGACCTTCTTGTTTTAAAAACATAGGTCTGGAACGGCCCCGTTTTAGAGATACAGGGTGTTGAAGTTGTTAAAAAAAAATTGATTTTTTGTTTATATATCGGGAATCTATTAATCGATCTCAATAAAATTTGGTACAGATAATGTATGATAGTAGGCCTTACATTCCCTAAAATATGACCTTTAAAGGTTCAACCAGTGGTGTACAACTGGACAGGGGTCACCCCTTTTTTTACAAAAAAATACGTAAAAAACGTGACTTTAATTTTTTTCCCTAAGATTCTCGCTCGAGATAATGCGATCGCTGATTGATAGAATAAAATCTCATGAAAAATTATACCAATCACCAGCTGGTGAAACAGAATGTTGTGTTTTAATGCAATCTTGAACCTGGAGCTTATTGTTTTAAAAAATTTTAATTTTGCCGAAATTTAATTTTCAAAGTGAAGGAAATAAAATTACTGTTCCAAACAAAATTACTGATCACGTGGCTCGTAATCATTTATAAAGGTTCTGTATTAATATGTGTTACCATAATCCTGTGTTCTATTTATGGGAGAATAATAACTAAAATTTATACAATGAAATAGGCATTATTGAAAAAAAATCTTTTTTCAAAGGGTGAAGGGTTAAGTGAAAACAGTAATAAATCAGGACATGTGATTTTACCAGTTATAAATTTATGTAACAATGATCAAAATCTAATCTTGTTTCTTCTCATATTAGCTTACTAAATCTATTTTGAATACACGATTTTGTCTAAACTTTGATGAATTTTTAAAATTGTATTTGGAGAGTAATAGACTTGTGCTAGAGAGGGAGTAGTATATTATTATTGAGCAGACTCCATTTGTGCCCAGGAATCACCATTCGGTGTAGCGATGAGCAAAACCTGAAAATCCTTTTTAATTAGGGGGTCAAATGCCAATTGGTGTCAATATTTCATATTTAAATAAGCCTTACTCACAAAGAGGGTGCTTATTTTCCCAGTATGAGTATAGCTGGCCAAGGGGATCAACACATTTTAAACCGCTCTGGTACCAACTGACAAAATTAATATAATACATTTATGTGAGGCTTTATACAGTGCCTTCATAAATGTCCGAGTCCCACGTGACCGCGACTGTTAGACATTCAAACTTACAATGGAGTCAGTGATTAATACAAAATTCCCTAAAGACAGAAAATGGAATCCAGTGGAGTATGTATTTCAATTATTTCCAAACAGAACTTTAATTTGCAAAATGTGTTTCTTTTTTCAATAGAAAATAACTATTTTTTACATTTTTATTTAAAAAATAATCATACTTCTCGCAGGTATTTTGAATTTTTATCCCATTCTATATTAAAAAAGTATTTTTTGATTGGAATTTTAAAAACATAGGCTCTTTTATAATCAACTTTGTCAGAGATAATGAAAATGTTAATAAAACAAAAATTTTTTAGTGCTGATATTTCCAGATGGTGTCAAAGTTTGTCATGGCAACAATGTAGTAATTGCAGAATCTTTTATTGAAATTTGTGTGATTTATGCGCCAGAAGTTTGGTTCACCATTTTGACAAAAATGAATTATCTGAAGCAAATAAAACATTACTGTCATGTCGTAATTAAGTAAATTTCTGGTGAATTACACTGCTACGTAATGAAAAAATTATGATAAAACTAACGGTAAGCTTTTAAATAAACCTAGCAAATTCTAGGTCAGGGAAGATATGGTTGTGTTTGGCGGGGCATGGTGGAAGAGCAAGAAGTCGCTGTTAAGGTGTTTCCCGCCCACCACCGCAACTACTTCCTCAACGAACATGAAATGTACAAACTCTCACGTGAAAACTCTGCCTTACTGAAATGCTATGGGGGCGGGGAATACTCCATAGGGCCAAGCGCCCCCGCAGACTATCTGCTTCTTCTCAGTCTGGAAAAAGAATGCTTGCAGGACCATCTGAAGAACCACACTTTGGATCTTTCCACTTTAAGCAAAATGAGCTTGGGCATTGCCAAAGGATTGGCACACTTGCATTCAGATCTTCGCAAGCCTTGCATAGCACACAGAGATATTAACACAAGGAATATTTTAGTCAGGCCGGATTTATCCTGCTGTATCTGTGACTTGGGATTGGCCGTCATTCCTAAGAGAGCTGAAAATAAGTCCATAAGTGAAGCTGGTGAGTATTTTTATACAGTTAAGGTGTATGTTTAGCTCTGAAAACTTTAGAAGTGAGATATAATTATAAGGAAAGAATATTTTTTATCAATGTTTTTAAATTATGTTATTTTTCTTTTCTCTCAAACTGATATTTACTACTGTACAGTATCTTTCTAGCGGGAACCCTGAATATCGGAACGCTTTGGCATAACTATGCCATGTTAATAGTTATCTAATTGACTGATTTTACAACTGTCTAAATAATTTTGAGACTAAACTTACAAATAACTCTACACCTTCCTCTTGTGACTCCATATAGCAACACGGGGCGGAGTAGTCAATCTCATTTAATTTATTCTTATAGCTTGGAAAGTCCGCCTAAAAACCAGCTATTTGATATATCTTTCTTTTCCAATTATTACCAATTTAACAACTTATTTAAATATCTTGGAATTCCTACGTGTTCTTTCGAATGCATTTCACACTTTATTAGAAATATCGATTTTTCTCTTTATACCAGATGCTCAACACATGGCCCCGACGATCTAAGTGAACTTGTTAAAAAATATTGCTAAGTTTTATGAGGCCTTCTACGAAAGGCGGCCTTGTGGCGACGCTAAACCTACTTGAAAACTCTTAACTTTTCGATAATTAGTGTTGACTGAAATATTTTACTTTTTGGCCCATCCATTCCGAGAACTAACAAATAAATTACCACGCATCCCGGCTTTTGTTAAAGTGTTGTGTTTTAGTTATGAGATGAATAATCTAAAACTATTGGTCATTATAATCAAATTATTCGATACATCTCTATAAAAACTTTAAATAGCAATAAAACAGAAAAAAACAATACTCATTTTTTTTATCAATCTAGGTACTTTGCGGTACATGGCTCCGGAAGTCCTTGAAGGTGCTGTAAATCTTAGAGATTGTGAGAGTGCCCTGAAACAAATTGACGTATACGCCTTAGGTTTAGTTTTGTGGGAGTTAGGCTCTAGATGTGCAGATATGCAGAATGCCGAACCCCATTCTTATTTACCTCCCTTCTCCAAAGAGGCTGGGGAGAGTCCCACATTGGAACAGATGCAGATGCTCGTCAGTAGGAGAAAAGTCAGACCTCTGTGGCCTGCATCATGGAAGGATACTTCGGCAGCAAGGTTGCTGTGTGAAACTGCAGAGGACTGCTGGGACCAAGTGAGTAAAATTTCATTTCATGTGAAGTATAACTTCAGTAATCTGAAGTCGCAGTTTTTTATACAGATTAAACTTATTTGCATTATGTGTATTTTTCTAGTTTGTCTAAAATCCGAAAAGTCGATAATCTCAATCTGTTGCAGTTTGAAACTATTCAGATTAATGAGGTTGTACTGTATTTAATTAACTCAAACTATCTGTGCTGTATAATTTCACAATCTTAAATTAAACTAATCAAATCGCAGGTAATTTTTTTAATGACTACCCTTATATTCCCGATTTATAGGTGTATAGGCCATTGACATACATAAAATCCAGACGAAAATAAACTATAAGAATGCATGTATTTGAAAACTATATCTTCCTTAAAACTGCAAATTAAAAAAATTGTGCTAGCAACTTTTTATAAGAAAACTAGTAACATGATGTTATTCCACACTCATTGACTAGGTATTTTACGATTTTTTTTAATCATAAAATATTTATTCACACTGGCATTATTGCATTTTAAAGTTTAATAAAAATATCACAGCCTAGCAAATTTGTCGAAAGTAAAAGATTATGTTTGTAAAAAACCTCTTATTTAAGTTAGTCATTTAGTGTTTGGAAATATTTTAGGTAAACGATCATATTTACTTAACTTAAATAACTATCTAATGCAACTGTTTTGCTTTTATCTTTTATTGTTAACACAGGCCAATAGAAGTACCACTGTATACTAAATAGTAGACATGTCGAAAATTTTATATCAATTGTTCACAAATTTTATAGTATTTTGAAGTGTATTATGAATTTTTAAATAGATTACACACCTTATTACCAAACGTAAAATTATTACCGTTGGTGATATTCCATATAAAATGTATTAATATAAAATATTTAAAAAGTCAATAAATAACATAGTTACTATTTTGTTTATCAGGCTTCATTAAAATTCTTCAAAATAGCATGACAGTGGGAGATGGTGACATACTGTCAATGTAAAATTTGCAGCCTTTTACACTTAGTCGCACTAGGTATATCTCTGCCCTGAACTATTAAATCCAATTAATGTAGGATGGAAATATTCTATGCCCACTGAGCGCAAAAGTACAAAAAAAGAACGACGTTGAGAATGTTTATTATACAGGGTGTCCCACCGTGAACTGCGTCGATCAATATCTAGGAAAGTACTGCTCCGAAAATTTTGAAAATTTGGCAACATGGCAATGTCCCTGGGGCAAACACAATTAAAATATATGGAACTCTCCTGCACTTCCGGTTATACCGGAAGTCGACACCAACTTCGTTATTTTAAATGGGACACACTATACATTATAGCAGTTTCGTATTTTTATTAAATATTCCCTATACATACCTAGGAGTTATAGATTTTGAGATATTAATTTTTAAAGAAAAAATTTCACAGATTTTTGCTGCCTGTTAGAGCCAAATTATTAAAGCAAGTGTATCTTACAGTTAATAACTAGAAGATTAGAATGTGTTGACCTTTTAATTGGAACAAATGACATTCTAAGCTTGTATGATAATGGTTTGTACATTTATAAGTCTGGATATGTTGTTTAAAAATTGGTAAGCTATGGAATTAAAACTTATTATTTAAAGCTATTTTCCAAGGTTCATGAACTTTGCCTTTAAGGTATCGAATTTTTCCTTAAAAATTTTAGTGGCATTAGTACTTCATTTATTTTCATTGGTGCTTTCTTAGTTTAAGAAATAATTGAATTTTTTATAGGTGTGTCCCAAAATATTTTAGATATTTTAGATTTTAGATATTTTAAATTTTAGTAAATTATGTTGTGTCATTCATGATAATTACATATTTTAATTAGAACATCTTATGATACAGCAATAGTTATTGTTATACAGATTAAACCCCCAAAGTGTCCCGATCTAAAGAAATTTGATGTCACTCATTGTTTAGTGTTTTTGAAAATTTCAGTTGATAACATTCGTTATTCTATTAGTTTGTTTCTATTAGTTTTATACAGGGTATCCCATAATTATTGCAACAAAATGATAGGGATTGTAGAGGGCATAAAAATAAGCAATTTTGCCTTATAAACCCCTGTCCAGAAATATGCCGTTTGGCTGCTATAATCCAAGTCAAGTTGGGCGACCGCGCAGACCAATGCACAGGGCCAACTCGGCCTATCCACCTGTTGGGAAAGATTTTGTCCAAATACTGCCGCACTGGCAAAGTAAAGTGGGTTGGAGCGCCATCATGTTGAAACCACACATGTCAGCTCTTATGTCAAATGGCACATTCTCCAATAATTCCGGAAGCATATGCTGTAGGAATTGAGCATAAACGTGCCCATTCAATCAATCAATGAACAATCATGCCCAGCTGTGTACTGAGTAATGTGGAGGACACTTTGAGCAATTACTCTAAGCTGTTTCAATGAACTGATATTTTTGGCCAAACAGCATATTTCCGGAAAGGGGCAAAATTGCTTATGTTCATGCCCTCTACAACCCCTATAATTTTGTCGCAATAATTATGGGACACCCTGTATAAACATATTTCATTTAACTTTTACTTTCACATTACAAAGTTATGTTATACTTGGAAAAGAATATATGACGGGTAAATCTATGAAAATATTATGTAGATCATTATTCAAAGATCTTGGTATAATGACTTTGCCATCCCTATGTGTGGCGTGTATAATCTATAAAAATTAAACTACAGCTTCTTAACGATATTTGTAACAGAAAAGTCTTATGCGAAAAAGTTCTATTTTTGCGTTTTTTCTTCGTAAATTACAGTTCAGCTATGAATCAAAATATTTTCTCTGGAACAGTCCTATCCGTGTCTTGTACGATGAGTTACATGCTGTAGACCAGCCGCGTAAACAAATCGTCGTTGAAGGATATAAAGATACTTCTGTTTTTGTGGAATTTTTCAATGCAAAAGTACAAACTAAGAAAAATAGATATTTAAAAAAAACTGATATTTTCTTACTATAATAATTAATAGTAATTAATTACTATCTTCCTTTCTACCCCAAATTTCAGGTATTCCCCTAATTGTGTCAGTAGCTTCAAGTATATGGTTGCGCAATTCTTCCACCGTAGCAATTGGAGTATTGTTAACCAATGACTTCAAGTGACTCCAAAGATAAAAGTGCATTGGAGTTAGATGGGGTGACCGAGGTGGCCACGTCATAGGATCAAAGCGTCCAATCCATCGCTAAGGAAACGTTTCATTCAAAAGTGTCGTTACTTCTCGAGTACTGTGTGGAGGAGCTCCATCTTGAAGATAAAACATGCGTGCTCGAACTTGTAATGCCATATCGTCCAATAATTCAGGCAACCGGTTCTCCAAAAAGTCAACATATGTTGGTCCATTTAGTCGTCCTTCAAGTAAATAGGGACCAACAAGTACATTCGCCTATTATGCGAGCCCAAACTACCGAGATCCGATGTTGAAAATGAGTTTTCCGAATCGTGTGAGGATTTTCATCCGCCCATATGTGCATATTATGGAAATTCGCTTCATCACGGGTAAATGTTGCCTCATCTGTTACACAAACTTAAGCAGGAAAGTCTACTTGATTGGCACATTGCCATAAAAACCATCTGCAAAAATGCATCCATTGATCACAATCCGGGGGTAAAATCTGTTGAACTGGTTGCAGATGATAGGGGCGCAACAGCTGGCGCCTTAAGATGCGAAGTACGGTACGAGATGAGGTTCCTACATGCTGTGCGAGTCGTCGCGCACTAATTTTGTGATCTAATCAAGATTTTCCAACACTGCATCTTCAACATTAAGGTTCACTTGCTAACCACGTCCTTCTCCTCGAAGAATAACACTTTCCGTATCTCAAAGCCGCTGAGCGCACTGTAGGATTGTATTTGCACATGGGGGGTGACGTTGTTGCCATCGTTCCCGATACAACTTAATCGCCGCAAGCGCATTTTCTCTGGCTGCACCATACAGTAACACCGTATCGACACGTTCAGAAATAGTAAATGCATTGTTTTCTTGGTTCATTGTAAAACTACTTTGTGCGTAAACTAAAAAATTAAGCAAAGTAAGAAAAAGAATATCGTTTTTAATGTAATCGGCACGCTATTCTTATTTTTTACTTCTTTATAAAAATTACACTGTTACTATCGTGGAATTACAGAAAAACTTTTGCCTGGAATCTTTCACTTTATAACACTGACGGGTCCATGGATGATGCTTAATATTTAATAATTAAATGAATATTGAATTCAATACAAATACAAAATCAGTTGACTGCACAAATTTTTTGACAATGTAACCTTACCTTTTAGTATTACTACCATTAGATTTATACTGACTTAAATTATAAGGTTGCATCTCGGGTCACATAAAAATATTTCCAAAGTTTTTAATAAATAACACAGGGTCAGCCTTCATTTTCGTTGAATAAATGAACTTTAATTTACAAAAAAAAAAAAACGTGAAGATAGAACTTTTTCATATAAGACTTTTCTATTACAAATATCAGGAAGCTGTAGTTTAATTTTTATAGATTATACACGCCATATCTTGTATATTTATTGATTTGGTCTTTATGTGTCACAATTAGAAAGAAGGTCTAATATCCAGTCACATAATACACGTTTTGGTCAAGCTATACAAGCCGACCAGACTGCCAGTAGGCCAACCTATACTCTGGATACATAAGAATGTAGGTATATAACCATGTTACATCATAAATGCTTTGAAGAGGGAGACAATATTTAACAAGAAAAATTGAAATCTAAGAGGAAAAAAATCTATCAAATTCCAGGTAGTTCTAGGCCCTCATCTCAGTTGAAATTATTTAGATTTTTCTAGATTTCTATTGCTTCTTTGTCTTGGCCAAAACTTCTTGTCGAATTCTGGCATTTTTTTAGAATGGAATAAAAATAGGTGATGAAATAGTGACAGTCCTTACCTAAAACTACCCCTTGTAGTAATTCTGTGTAAATCAGTGTTCAGATGTCTTATATATGTAATATGAATACAAAACTCGCAAAATCTTTAAGATTTCACAAAAATATGATATGTACCATCTTCCTAAGTAGCACTAACGAATGACATAGAATTTCTTTATTTTCGAACATTCTAGGTGGTTTTGAAGTCGATTTGGGGGATTGATTTAGAAAACTTGATATTAAGCAAGCACAAAAAAAATGATCAAAACAGTAACAAAGCTAAATAAAACTAAAGTTGCACTAACAGAAACAATTACGATTCCAATGAATTACGTCAAATTCCTTAAATCTGAAACATTTTAGGAACTAACTTTTAAATATGGAAATAAACAAAATTCTAAAACTAAGCAAGCACAAATGAGGACAATCAAAGCATTAAAAAGCACTAACTACGAATTATGTCAAATTCCTTAAATCTGAAACATTTTAGGATCTAACTTTTAAATATAGAAATAAACAAAATTCCAAAACTAAGCAAGCACAAATAAAAGGCATTAAATGTTCTTGGAACTAAATACTAAGACTAAGAATCATAAACACATAAAAATCCCTTATATGAACTCACATTAATTACACTTTTTTAAATATTTTTAGCAAATCAAAATAACCTTTTAAATTGTGCTTTAAACAATTTTAATACAAATTTATACATTTTTTACCACTTAATAACTGAAAATGATTGATAATCATGTTCATTATTTGTATTGATGAAAAATTTATATCTTAGGATGCAGAAGCACGTCTGACATCCCTTTGTGTAGTCGAGCGCCTTGTTGAACTGCCAACGCTAAAGGGTCGTGTATTGCATCCAATGCATCCGCCAGCTAGCCCTTCTCCGTTGATAAACAACAACCACCTTCACGATCATCAAATAGATGCTTCTGTAGGTACGATAGAAACACTTTTATCTCCATCAGAGGAGAATTGTAAAAATTCCAACCAATTGGCAGTCTGCGTAACACCTCTCCAGCCATACCAAGGAAGGAATCCCTGTTTAGAGAGAAATCTCTTATCGGGTTCCAGTGATAGTCTATTAATCGATAAATCTTCAAAACACTGCACTAGTTCCGAATCACAGAATCTGATAACAAACGATTTCCTAAATTTCCAAATAAATCACCGTGCCACACCCATCCCTTACCTCCAAAACGCCGTTCATGGCTTCCCGAAGCAGCAGAACACAAGTCACGAAGTGCAAACCCAGAACAAAGCCAAGTTCAAATGGAATGGCTTGAAGAAGCTTTTTAACTCCAAACGGCATGGTAGCAATAACAGCGTGTGCAAAGAGACTCAGGTGAAGCTCAACAGCAAACTTGTAAACGGTTTCGGTCAGAATGATGTCACCACATCCCTTTTAGGTGAAACTGAAACTCAGCGGCCTTCAACGTTGCCCCTACAAGTCAAGCCAACCGATACTTCGAACAGTTGCGGCGTCTCGCAGATAATAAGACGTAAGAATAGTTTGTCTCGCCAGCGCTCCTTGGAACAGTTCAGTGAAGTTTTTTCTTCGACCAGTGACTTATCAAGACTGAAAGATCCTTCTTTGAGAGTTAAGACCCCTGGGGACGTTCCTCCATCTGTCAGGAGAACTAGAGGAAAAGCAGCAACAGACTCTGCTCGTTTCTCTCTCTATGATGACAGAATGATGTGCCGTGGACAGTGGGGTAGCGCTCCCGACCTAGAACCTCCAGGACCCCTAAAACCCCCACAATTAAACGAATTACAAGACAGGGATAGTATAAGTAGTTTCTGAATATATTATTAATGCCATTAGGCAGCCGTTGAATGTTTGCAAAGCTAATGATTATAAACATGGCTATAATTTTGGTGGACGTAGAGTACTACTATGAGAAGGACTTGTGCTTTCACTTACTTTATATACATTGATTTTGTAACCATACTGCACAAGCGATGAAGTAAAAAAAATAAAAACAATTATTGTATAAAACAACCATTTTGAAATATACTTAAAAATTAAGTGAAAACTTAATTTTTAATTTCAAATTTCCATGATAAAATAATATTTCGTTACAGTATTTTTAAATGTAATATTACAATTATTTTGCAAAACAAATTTGAGATAGTCAATCTTATGTCTTACTTGGACAAAAGTCGTCTTTTTGTAATTGAGGAGTGCTGAAAAACATTTGATATTTCTTTGATTTAAGCAGTCCTTTGTAATTTTTTTACTTTTTCACTTTTTATCATGCAAATAAAGGGTTCAATATTAGAGAAAAGAAACAATATTAAGAATAACAGAATATGAATAAATATTTAATTATTTAATCTAATTTATTTTACATGTATTCTTTCATGCTGAACAAAGTGAACAGTTGGAGATTATTAAACTGAATACTATTTTACCAAAAGTGATATTTGCATTCATTTCAATTAGATGAATTGTACAAAAGAACGATATTAAAAAAATTCAAATTTGCTGTACCTACATAATATACAGGGTGGTCCGAATTTTATGCAGGAAACTTCGAGGGTAGATAGATCTCTTTAAAATAATATGTGTTTGCCTTATAAACATAGGTTTGGAACGGCCCCGTTTTAGAGATACAGGGTGTTGAGCTTTTAAAAAAAATTGATTTTTTGTTTATATCGCACACTACCTCACAGGTGGTGTAGAAAGGAGTGCAAATAATTTTGTTGATGTGCTTACAAATTCTTCTTGTAATATTATAGTTAGAAGTGTCTGCCACAAGGGGATTGTATTGGTATGAATAACTTGAGAATGGCGAATGTTAGGGAAAAAATTAAAGTCACCTTTTTTACGTATTTTGTGCATTAAAATATAAATCAGTTACAATGACATGTAAAAAATGCAGTGGCGTAGGTTTTTTTGTAAGAAAAGGGGTGACCCCTGTCCAGTTGTATACCACTGGTTGAACCTTTAAAGCTCATATTTCAGGGAATATAAGGCCTACTATCATACATTATATGTACCAAATTTTATTGAGATCGGTCAATAGATTCCGGAAATATAAACAAAAAGTCAATTTTTTTTGACAACTTCAACACCCTGTATCTCTAAAAGGGTGCTGTTCCAGACCTATGTTTATAAGGCAAACACATATTATTTTAAAGAGATCTATCGGCCCTCGAAGTTTCCTGCATAAAATTCGGACCACCCTGTATATGCTTAGCACAAGTTCTGAATGAAATAACTGAATAGTTTGTTTATTAGGGGCATGCAGTTCAAACGATTTTTTTCATGTATAACAGTTCTAGATATACTACGTTGTCCAAAAAATAAGTTGAATTTGTTTAAAAAGTAAAAATTCTTTATGCTTCGAAATCAATTTCGTCGCCTTCAAAGTAACCCACGCAATACAATGCACTTATGCCAACATTTTTTCCAACTCTCGAAACAGTCTGAAAAGTCCTTTTCCGGTATGGCCTTCAATGCTCTCGTCAATTCAGGTTTTATTTCTTCAATCGAGTGGAAACGGTGTCTGCGAAGTGATCTTTTGAGTTTAGGGAATAGCCAGAAATCACTCGGTGCTAATACAGGCGAATATGGTGGTTGCGGAACGATATGAGTTGAATTTTTGGCGAAATGGTCTCGAATTATCAATGCAGTAATAAGCAATTTTATATATTTTATAGACAAAAATGAGAAATTTACAGTACAAGTCTTTAAGTATGTACATGTATTGCTTGTGTTCATAAGATCTCATGCGCTTCATTTTCTAAGAATTGTTTTCGAATAGAGATTAGGCTTTTTTCGCGATTAATTATTGGTGAATATCTGACTTATAGTTACTATTTCTATCTCTTTTGATCTTAGTTGTTATATGGTAGCTTACAGCTTTTCACTCACTTATACTACACATATTACAACATACGACTTCACTCGCGAAAAAAAGCCTTTTATTTGATTTCTATCATTCCAAATTGTTGAAATCTTAGTGTGACGTGCCACATTCTTTTGCTTGCTTGCATTAATTTCTCCGTTTTTTAATCTACAGGGCTGATTTTGATGCTGTGTGAAACATCCAGGTTAGAATAAATTTTTTTTTTCTCAAAAACTAGGCTTGATCGCACAAAAATAACTTCAGATTCGTGTTCAACCCCTTCGAAAATAGGGGGGTAGGAAAAATATGACGATTTGGGAGGGTTACGATATAGTAAATTATTCATAGAACTATCAATCTACAAAAAATAATTATATGCTTTCATAGTACCTGCAAATTTTAAATAAGTAATTCACCTTATTTTTTGGAGAAAGGTTCTTTCTGAACTAGCTGATCCAATAATTTCCATTTTTTTCAGTTTCAGATATTTACAAAACCTAAACATAGCTAACACCCGTAAGCACAGTCGATCACCAGCAACTCGCCGAAGTTATACCTGGCGAATCTCTGATGAGTCGCTGGCGAAAGAACGGCACGTAATTTCTATTGCATAGACGTTCGCCCGGGATCTCTGTTTTGGCGAATCACCAGATGAGTGATAGTCTCAACTACAGGCGCTTAAGCATGCGCAATGCTATTTTACACCGAATATGTACTGTTCTAACCTGAGTTTGTGCATGACATGGTGCTTTGAAATGTATTACTTGAGCATCTCTGGTATAAATAGTTGTTTGTATCACATAAATTATTGTCAAAGCATAATTATCTAAAGGTGTTGTGAATTTTAAGGGGAGTCTTTCGTATAAAGGTTTTATCTAGGACGCTTTGTTAAAAAGATTTAAATAATATAAAAACTAGTAACTAAAATAATTTGAAATTGGGCACATGTATTTATGTAAATATTATCCAAAATCTGAGGCCTTTTTCTAAAATGTAGATGCTCCAGTGGCGGAGATACAGTGTATTGGTGACATATTTTTTAAAATAAAATAGTATGCCAGTCCTTATGGTAACAATAATAATATATTCGGATTCGTCTTTCAATTTTCTACAAATTATTACTCTCACGTTTTTTGAAAAAAGCCTGATTTTCGAGTAAAACTTAAAAAACGAACTGAAAACACTTACTTAAATAACATACAAACACTAATCATTAGATTATTTAATGAAATAAAGAAATTAATAACTAGTCATGATTTTAATGATTTTATTTGAGTAAATGCTCAAAAGTACTCCGTTTCGACAAACACAGGTGCGACATCTTTTTGAGTAACGAAAATATAATTTGTTCGAAATTTATTGTTGCTTGAATATGATGAAAAGCAATATTTATTCTTTTTTTGAACTGCTCAGAATTTCAAACAAAGTTGTTATTGCAACCTACTATGTAATTTTAAACCGAATTTTATTTGAATATCGAAGTGTGTTTTCAGTTAGATTTTTAAGTTTTATTCAAAAATCAGACTTTTTTCAATAAACAAGAGTAGTAATTAGTAGAAAATTGAAAGATGAATTCGAAAATATCATGATTTATGACCGTAAAGCAGTGGCGTACTATTTAATTTAGAAAAATATGCCGGAAAATGCCTCAGATTTTGGACAATGTTTACGTAAATACATGTGCCCAATTTCAAATTATTTCAGTTAAATTATTTAAAAAAATTTAAAATATTTTTATAAGTTTAACACCCTGTATCTTTTTAACGAAGCGTCCTAAATAAAATCTATACGATAGATTCCCCTTAAAATTCACCAAAGAATACTAGGTTTCATTTTTGGTCACCGTTTGTGAACACCCTGTATAGGTGTGAGTATATCTAATCAGAAATATATCTGTTTGCATTATACAACACTAAAATCACAATCCATTATTGGAACAATCTCAAAAACACAATGAAAATAGGTTACTTACTTTCTGGAGAAACGCTGGAGATGCTACTAGCAATCTCTGGCAATTCTTCGGCGCTTCGCCATAAGTTTCACTAATGCGCCTGCTCGACTTAGCTGACGAACGACTGAGCATTGAAAATCTCGCCCAGCGAACGGCGAATCTCTGGCGAGTCGCTGGCGATCGACTATGCATACGGGCATAAAATTTTTAATAAAAAAAATCCGTTATTTTCCAAAAAACATGTCTTAAAAAAATTGCAGTATTCTATTACCAACCAAATTCATAAAAAATATTCATTTAAATGGTGCGATTCAAAAAAAGTTAAGGACTGTGTACTGGTTTTATAATTTTTTGATGTTAAAAAATTGTGTGTTTGAGGGGAAAGGGAAAACAAAATGTAATCACTATAATCACATAAGGAGTACTGAATGTTTAGTTTGATTAGCACGAAAAATACATGTTAAAATATTTCTGCATATTTTTCCTTGCTGTTCTAGAAGGATGAATGAAAGAAATAATTAGTCAATACTGAAGAGATCTGATGTATGTAATGCATGATTTACGTTACAAAGCCTACAAAAATCTAGGCTTTTATAAAAAAAAATTATGACCTTTAAGGTAAGCCATATTTTAGGATTATTTTTGGCTATATGATAGTAGCACTGATTTATTATTTTTTAATAGAAATATTTATTTTTATTTAGACATTTATTTATATAAGTTGTACATTTATTTCCAGCTTTAAATATTTGTTTTTTTTATGTAATTAGTGCAATAAAATTTAATATAAAAGATTAAAACAGATCTAAAGTTTTTCTCACTATTTTATTTTTTTTTTTTACAATCAGAAGATTGTCTTTAATTGCAATATAACAATTTAAAATTGAAATATTTGCATACTCAAATTAAAAAATAGTATATTGCTGCCTTATGTGAATAAAAAACAAAACACTGCCCCCACTATTTCTGTGGCGGGACTCCTAAAAACTCAAATGTTGTTTTATCGATATCGAGATTGGCATAGCCACAAATGCATATTTGTAATATTGAAAAGAAACGGCAATAGTCAATACTAGTGATGTAACAATTGTCAATTTTTAGGCATTCATGAATGCAAATATCTGTCGCCGATATTCGCAAATGTGAATGCGAATATTCAGTTTTAATGTTAAAGTAAAGATTAATAAAAAATATAATTGCAAGATTATCTTAGC